CAAGAAAAATGATTAATTCATGCTTGGGCGAGCTTTCCTGGTTGGCTATGCTCTGCATTGCCACATATTAATGTCACTGGTGGGGCGAAAACCCACTTTATCTCATTTCTTATTTGTAGGAATGAATGAAAACAAGAGACAACATATAGTGAGCAAAGCAAGCAAAGTTTACGCTAACAGAAATATACTCAGATGAATCTGCATGGCCTACTCAGCTAGTCTGAGTGCCCCACGGAAACAAAGAGTTGGGGTTTTATACTTTTCCCTCTACCTTAAGAATGCCAGCTCTGCTTTTTATATTTTTACTCCCCCCACCAACCCCCAGGAACTTTACCCATTTCAAGGTTGTTCTTCAGTGTCACTGTAGTTAGTCTTGTGTTGAGGCCCTGGGAAGGCTAGCCTGCCTGGCTTAGCTCCTTATCTATTATTTTTAGGTGCCTAACTCTGCATTTCCCCATTTCTTCCCCCTCCCATCCTGGTCAGCGTTTGTCTACCTACCTACCTACTCTAACATTAATACTTGAAGGCAAACTTTTGAGTTTGGAACACTTCAATGTTCTACTCAATTCATTGCTTCCCTTGACCAATTTTAAAGTATCCTTTATCTGTAATAAATATGACAGTGAGTATAATAGCTTTCAGTGAGTTCTGTAAGTTTTCCTAGTGAATCACTGAACCTGAGGATGATGTGGGAACCCCTGAATTTATAGCCAGCTGGTATGAATTGAGGGCAGCCTTGTGGGACCTACTCCCTCAGACTGTGCAGTTTGCCTAATCTTTTACTGGCCTTTTCAGTAAATGATGTTGGGATATTAGGTAGTTATCCTAATGAAAAAAGTGAAACTAAACACCTATTTAGGACTTATGCCATGTCCTAAAATCAATCCCAAGTGAATTAAAAACTTAAACACAAAAGGCAAAACAGTATCATTAGGGAGAATAACTGTGCTCTTAGGGGAAAAGAGACTTCTTAAATAAGACATAAAAAAATCAGTAAAAGTGTTAAATTTGATGGCATTAATAGTGAGAATTGCTACCATTATTTAAAGGTTAGAAGTCAAGCCACAAACTGAAAGCAAGCATGTACAGCAACATAAAACTGACAAAGGAAGACATACACTAAAAAATAAGAAGTTACTTCTTCTTATTTATTAACTGACAAACACTCTGAAACAAAAAACTGAAAATATAAAACAACAGAAAAATTAGAAAATCACATGAAATAATATTTCAGAGGACAGAAAGTGAGACAGGCTGAGTACCTCTGGGGACAGGAATGCTCTTCATCTTATTTTTAATCTTCTCCCAAATAAGTTTAAAGTTTCTTTTTAGGCCCTCCCCCAAAAATTCTGCTCTGTGCCTGTCAATGCCAGTTCATTGTGGGAACCTGGAAAGCAAACACATCTACTCTGTACCTGCATGAAGAATCCAGCCCTATATAAGCCAGACCCCCGCAGCAATTCACAGAGCCATACTCTTGGTTAGTGTGTGGTCCCTTGATGCATCAAGCACCCTTCCTTTCTCCTTTCTCTCCACCCGTTTTCAGTAAACCTCTTCTTTTGCATGTTTTGTCCCTCTCTTGGTTTCTATCTTTAAAAATAATTTTATTTATGTATTTTTGAGAGAGGGCAAGGAAGAAAGAGAGAGAGCGAAACATCAGTGCAAGAGAGAAACATCAATCAGTTGTCTGTCAAGCACGCCCAGACCAGGGACAGAACCCTCAACCCAGGCAGGTGCCCTGACCAGGAACTGAAGCAGTGACCTTTCGCTTTGCGGGACAATGCCCAAAACTAAGCCACACCAGTCAGGGCTTGATCTCTACACCTTGAGGAGAGGCAAGGACCCCTTTGATAATGAGGAAAGAATGAAAGAGGGCTCAAGTTCATTTAGCACAAAAATATACAAATTTAAAATCAGAATAATATATCAATTCATACCCATCAAACGGGTGAAAATGTAAAAGTCTGACAATACCAAATGTTAATGAGGATATGAAGTAACAGGATTAATAAATGGGTATAAACACTGAAAAACAACCTGGCAGTGTCAGTAATGTTGAAGACATATGTGCCCTATGACCCAATAATTCTATTTCTAGTTATATAACTTAGAGAAATCCTTGCATATAAGAAACAAGTTCAACAATGTCTACATAATGTTTGTAATATAAAGGAAAAAGATATATTTATACAATAAATGATTATACAGTAGGCTAAATTCACAGTATGAATGAATCTCTTCAATATACATTGAGAGACAAGTAAAGTTGCAGAAGATTTCAAACAGTATTATTTTATTTACATAAAATTTAAAAATGAAAACAATATAGTTAAACCTATAAGCAAAAGCAAAGGAGTGAAAACATGAAATTTAGAACAGTTACCTCTGAAGGGTAGAACGAGATTGGAGAGGGATAACTCTTGGTACATAGTGGGTTTTTAACAATTAACGTTCTACTTCTTAAATATGAGTCCTTAGTCATTTATCATACCTTATACATTTTCTATTATTCAATATTTAATAAAAGCAGTTTTAAAAACATAGTTACACTAGAGTATGATAAGAACTATGGCAGATGCAGCATAGGGGAATGTAGTCAGTGTCACCAAGCATAATTAAGACTGAAGCAGGCTTCACAGAACCCAGAAAAAAGGGTCATGTAGCATAAACACCCCTCTCGCATTTCCTGTGCAACAGAAGCAAGAGATAGCACTGTGAGTTCTGGGAACTACCAGAGGAAAGAGAGAGGGAGCAGAGAAAGACGAGGCTGTAAAGAACAAACTAATGGCATCCTGTGTGTTGGAGAAGCAAGCAAACTGGGGTAACTGGTGAGGGATTCTGGAAAAGGAGTCTGTCTAGAAGTGATGCTGGAGAAGTCCAAAAGGTAAGGACAGTCAGGTCTTGGATGACAGATCATCCCTGGCAGAATAAAAACATTCTCACTCACCATTTTACTCCAATATTAGGATTGGTGCTCTAGTAAATATAGAATATACTTTTTAGTATACTTATGCAATGAATACAATACATATGCAAAACAATATATAGTGAATGTGAAATATTTGGCACAGTATTCTGATGGTAACAGGGATTCACTGAATAAAAGAAGTCACATGATTAGACTTGTATTGGTGAGAAGTAAAAGCAGAGCCAGAGAACCTTATTACAAGGTCAATGCACTGATCACTTCCGCAAAGGTCTGATCTGGTACACAGACAATGGAGTAAGGTTGTAGGGCAGAAAGGGAACCTAAGCAATGACATCTGGCACCTTATGAATGTTGGGAAGGCCAGCAGGTAGGAGTCTGGGAACCTCCAAGTTGCTGGTTTAAGTGCACATGGAGGTATCCTACCAAAATGTACTGAGAATAAATGGGAAGGGTGTAGTCTTTTCCTGAGGATCTTAGGAAGTTTTCTGGCCAAGATGGGACTGGGAAGATAAATGCAACAAGTCTTCACAGAATTCAGAAGTCAAAGAGAAAGGAAAAAACAGACAAATCCAGAATGCAAAGACTATTTCTTATTCTTTAGAAAGGAATTCTTGAGAATTGATTGGCCAGCATTAATGAAGAGTCACACTCAGACACATCTAGGGGAAAAACGCTGAATGTACTACAAATAGTATGCAGTTCTTTATAACAATTTACTCCAAAATCATTAAAAAATCCAAATAAAAATGCCAAACTAGGAATGTGATAGCCAACATTCTTTGATCATATCTCACATTGGGTATCTTAAAGATTAAATTGTATGGACAGAAGAAAAAATTCTTTAGGAAAATATGAGTGACTTTTCTATTTTTATAGTAGAGAATACCTTCTGGCATGACATAAAGGGAAGAAAACATTTTTTGAAAACTCTGAATCTAAAAACACACACTAAATAGATTGACTGTGAAAAAAATATTTCTACAACAGTTTATAAATAACAGAGAGAAAATATGCTTGACTTATAAGCTTATTTAAAATAAACCAAGAAAGATAACATTGTTTGACAAGTGGGTAAAGGAAATCAGTAGGCAATTTAGAAATCCCAGTTGTATCACTTATCAATGTGTAATTTTGGGTCAAGTGGCCTAACAGATTCTATTTCTTCATCTTTTAACTTAGAATAATAGCATATTTCATCAGTTCTGGGATGCTATTTATTGTAAAGCCTTCATTACTTTATATACTAGTAAAGAAGAAAAATGCCATCAATGAAACGATGATTGCCAGAAACTGTAAAACTCATCCTGATGTGAAAAAAAAAAAAAAAAGCATCATAGAATTAATGAAATATAGTCAGACCTGTCTTAAGTGGATTCATCAAGATAATACACATAAAGTATTTCAAACTACAAGTGGCTTAAAACAAACACAATTAAGTTAGTTGCTTCTATCAGTAACATGATCCCATTTTAAAAACAAAATTACACACCTAAACATATGTGCAAACAATATCATTTGAAAATATTAATAGTAACTATCTCTAGATGGTGGGGCCATGGATGACAAACTTTCTTAATAAGCTTCTCAAATATTGAAAAATTTGCAAGAATCCTATATTACCTTAATCATTAGAAAGAGAGCAATTATGTTATTTCTATCTTGAGGAAAATAGTATCTGGAAATGAAGATGGCAGGCAGGTATACCAGGTTATGAGAAATTTGGAAGTGAATAGGCTATTGCATGAGACCCTGGAGGGGACAACAAATAAGTTAGTGAGGTGGGAGTAATCTTATTCTGTTGGTCAGCTTCCCTGCCAAATCAATGAGGCACATTCTAGCAAGACTGCTCATGGGAATGAACAAAATCCAGGGAAGTGAAAATTCTAGATCAAAGCCCTGGTTTAAGGTCCTGCCTGGTTTAGGAAAACTGCTCCAAAAATGTAGTTTTCCTCTTCTCTTCCCCTTTCTCCAAATCACTACAGTACATCTTTTAGATAAAATCCTGAAATAGGAGAATGTTCTGAAGAAACAACATGCCCTTTCCAAGAAGAAGGTACCACATACAACTTACTTCTGCCATGATATTTTATGCACAGCGGCTCTTCTCTCCTCCTGTTCTGGATTCTGAAAGAAAAAAGGCGGGAAAAAGATTAAGGAACTAGGAGACAAGAGTCCCTCCTTGGTTCCTGGAGAAGGCCAACTCAGAATAAATCCCTGCCCCACCTCAGGCACTAAACTAAGAGGGAGCCCAAAGCCTAAGAAGCCTGCAACTCCACCATTCTCTCCCATCATCTCAAAGAGTGAGTAACCTTAGGGGTCCAGATGTGAGTCCTGGGAAAGAGTTCCAGACTGCGGGCTGTCTTCTTCCATAAGAGCCTGACTTTGGGTTCTTCTAGGCCCAATATATTATATTTGTGTTCGTCTGAGCCCCAAAATGTAGCTCCCAGACAGCTAAGTGGATCCATTTGTCAGAGTCCTCACAACTCTGTCTTCTAGGCTGGGGGCACCTCTATGAGACTGGATCTTGGGCAAACACAGGGTGAAAGGACAAAAAGTGTAAGAGGATTTCCCAGGCCCAAGATCTACAAACCCGCTGGACGGCAGAAATAGATAAGACTCTGGGAGAACGCCATTCACAGTGCTGGAGAGCGAATAGCGGCGGTTATCAGTTCCGGCTGCTTGAGTGTAACGGAGCTACAAAGGCTCGAAATGCATTCGATGTCTGAGGTAGAGGCCCAGAACCCACCCACCGTCCAACTCTGCCCAGCATTTACCAATAACTTACAAACAAGGAGAGCGCCCTTTCCAGTTCTAGCCCCAAATAAAGAGACAGCGTCTTGGCCGCTTCGGCTTCTCACGCACAGGGCCACAAAAAAAGTCCCGCTTGGACAGTGCACTCACCGTGGCCCCGCAGGAACTGCTCGTCGGGGGAGCATCGCACGGACTTCCCACCCAGGCCAGACACCACACCATTGCGATACCCCTAACCTCCTGACACGCCAGCCTGAAACTACACCCACCTAGTGCTAGGCGCACGGCATATACCCGGAGGGAAGACACGCAGCCTCGACATGCCCGTCCTCCCCGACGTCCTTTAGTCCTTTATTGTCCAAACGTGGACACGTATTCTAAACGTGCCCAACAGCCCCCTACGTTTAAGACCCCAGACAGACCCTGCCCCTCCACGGGGGTTCTTAACGTCCACTTCTAAGTGGTCCTTCCACTCCAGTCTTACCGTATCTGCCGCTAATGAGTGAGCTAAGCACCCGGAACACACCGACACTTTGCCTCCGAACTCCTTCAAACTCGCCACCTGCCAGCCAACTCTGGCTGGAAATGGCATATGCCGCGAAGATGTCAGGGAAATGTAGTCCAGAAGAGCAAAAATCCAGCTAGGGTCTGGCTGGCTCAACAGTCTTCTCTGTCGAGTCTCATTCCAAGCCTTCAATGAAGCTCAGTTCTGGTCATTCAGTTCACCTGAGCATCCTCCGAGGACTTGAGCAAACCGACAGGCCAGGGAGCAATAGGTGGCTGCTGAGGTTTAAGAACAAGTGGTGTACCGTGGAGGCTTCTGGGATATGTAGCCCGAGGCTGGGGAAAGGGCGGGGCGGTCCTCCGCCAAAGCGTCCCGAGACTCCGAAGTTAACCTGTCGCCATAGTCCTAGGAGATGCCCAAAGGCCTCTAAGAACTGTAATAAAAAGCTAGAAGCTGACTGTATGGAGTTCTCACCACAAGGAGCCGCGCTCTGAGCGCGGGACCACAAGGACAACTCCCCACTACCCACGAACTAGGAGTCCTCCCAAAGCTGGGCTCAGCCCTTGGCGCCCCACGATCCTGGTCGTGCTGGTCACTAAACTTCCGCCTGAGCATTTATTCCCCCGTCCCAGGCGCCGCTGGGAAGTGTAGTTTTCAGTCAGGAACGCCATAACGCTGCCTCCAGATGTCCTGGCTTTTCTGTGCAATTTGAGCTGTCGGCTACAAGGACACCGGGTAGCTGCTGGGTCCACCTTATAGGCCTCCGGGGAATGCAGTTCGGACTTTGCGAGTTGAGGGTGTGGCGGTGGAGAGACTGAAGGCTGGCAGTCTTGAGCCCTGGATACGGCCATCTGAGAAGGGACCGGGAGGTTGGGAGACAACCCTAAGTCCAGAGTGAAAATAATGGAGTACCAATACAAAAGTATGTACCACGTAATACTATGTTCAAACTTTTTAAAAGTACATAAATACAGGTTGGAAAGCAGTTTCGCTGTGTGGCTCAGTGGATTGAGTGCTAGCCTGTGAATTAAAAGATCACTGGTTTGATTCCCAGTCAGAGCGCATGCCTGGGCTGCGGGCCAGGTCCCCAGTAGGGGACGCCTGAGAGGCAACCGACCGCACGTTGATGTTTTTCTCCCTCTCGTCCTCCTTTCCTCCCCTCTGAAAATAAATAGACAAAATCTTTTTTTTAAAAAGGGATTGATAAACTCTTTGGAACATTACACTAATATTTGTTAACTGTAGTTAATTTCTAGGATGTGTAATTATGATTTTTTTCTTTTTATTCTAAAAGTATTCTCATATTTTGGCCATTATCATGTCCTTCTCATGAAACATTACTTATTAATTTTGTGATAAATTGAATAAATATAGGCTCTGAAATTGATGAACTAGATAACAATCAAGTGGACCAGATTTTAAAATTTTACAGATGGGTTCTAAAAGATCAATGAAACACAATATTGATTAACAATAGCAAAACGAAAAATTAAATCAAAACTAAAACATTAGAAATAAGAAAGGTTAAACCACATAGAATTTAAAATAATTTTGAGGCTGTTACATGTCACTCTATAACCTCGGTAGAGGTAATTGTAGATTTTCTAGTAAAATTTCAATGATTAACTCTAGTAAGAAGTATAAAACCTGAACAGAACAATAATATAGTAAAATTTAAATATAGCTTAAAATATATACTATTGAAAAGGTTCCAGATGATTATAGCTGAGTTTTAGCTAATATTTGAACTTGTAATGATTATGCAAGTTATTCAGAACCTAGGAAAAGATGGAAAGCTCTCTAATTAATTTTGTCTAACTAATGTAAAATCTGATAAAGACAGGCCAAAAGAAAAGTATTATCCATTTTGTATTAAAAGATAAACTGACACATGTTACAATTGTCAAGAATTTACCTGAGGTTATATAGATTTTAATCAGGCAGCATCAAACCAAAGTGGTTAGGAGTGCTCCACCAACAGGAGCTAGTGAAGAGGTTTTTTTTGGTGTTGGTTTATTTTTGTAATCCTCACGGAATGACATACTGATTTTAGAGAGACAGGAAGACAGGGAGAGAGAGAGGGAGAGAAACATCAACGTGAGAGAGAAAAAATCGACCAATTGCCTTTTGTACACACCCTGACTGTGGACGGAGCCCACAACCTATGCATGTGTCCTGATGAGAAATCATGCCCTCAGCCTCTCAGTTTATGGGATGATATTCCAACCAACTAAGCCATGCCAGCCAGGGCAGCTAGTGGAGAGATTTTTATAGAGAAGACCAAGAAGCAAAGCAAGTAAATTATTTGTTATAGCTTAAGCACTTGCCTTATTCGGGAAAGCTAAGTTTGAGATTGGTAGTTTTTAAATTTTATTTTCTCTGAAATGACTGGATTAGTTTTTCGTTTGCTTATGTAAGAAAAAGAAGGCATTACAGGCACTTTGATCAAATGGCTTTCTTGTTTAATCACTTTAACATTTGTGGTTGATTATTGATGAAAAATTCTAAATAAGAGGCTGATTTCAACAATGTGGTATAAAATTTGTACAATAAATTTCATCAAAATATTTCCTAATGTTGTGATTACAAAGGTTTTCATAAGAGGAAGGTAGGGCATCAGAGTCAGGAGATGTGAAGGCATCAGAGGTTGGAATGATGTGCTCTGAAGATGGAATAAGCTACCATTGAGCCAAGAAATACAGATAGTTTCTAGAAGGTGGAAAAGGCAAGGAAATAGATTCTACCCTGGAGCCTACAGAAGGAATACAGCTCTGCCAACACCTTGATTTTAGCCTATAAGAGCCATTTCAGACTTCTGACCCCCATCTCTGGAGGAGGAAACCTGCCCTTGGAGCAGGAAGAAAATGGAATCACCTGTCATTCATCAGAAAACCATGTCCTTTGTAAGTTAGTTCTTCTGCCTTACTTCCTGAGATACTGTTCTGCATCCCACTGGGATATTCTGCATTCATTCTGAAACTTTCTCTTATAGAAAAAAATATTGAGAAACTATTTCCAGTTTCTAGTTCTTTAGTTCTTCTGTCCCAGTGGGGTCTTTGAGTACATCCTCAAGCAGCTCAGTGCCCTCCAGACTGATTTCTTCCATATGATAGAGCAGAGTCACCTGAAAAGCAAATTTTCTTCAATTGTTGTTTTTGAAATTTTCAAGTCTTCAGATGCATTAAAAGAATAGTGAAAGAACTCTTATACATGCCTATACCCTGAATTCACCAATTGTTAAAATAAATTTAAGTATCATGATACTTTACTATTAAATATGTTAGCATGTGGCTTCTAAAAAAAGAGACATTTTCTTAGTACACACCACTCCAGACAGTGTCTCATACATTTATCATCATTTATCATAAAACAATTCTAACACATCAGTAAACACAGTAGCACATCCCGTATACCTCTAACTACAACTCCATGATCAGACCCAAGGAAATTAATAATTCTACAATTCACTCATATTCAAATTTCTCTGAAATGATGCCCAAATGTCTTATATAGGATTTTTAAATTTTTAAAAAATTTAAAAAAGGTTTTATTTATTTTCAGAGAAGGGGAAAAGGAAGGAGAAAGAAAGGGCGAGAAACATCAATGTGTGGTTGCCTCTTGGGCAAACCTTACTGGGAGCCTGGCCTGCAACCCAAGCATGTGCCCTGACTGGGAATCAAACCAGCAACCTTTTCGTTGTAAGGCTGGCGCTCAATCTGCTGTGCCACACCAGCCAGGGCCATTTTTAAAAAAATTTTAAACTTTTTTTCAAATACAGTTGTCTCCATTTTCCCGACATCACCCATAATCCACCTCTCACTCTCAATCCTTCCCCACTTCGACCTTGTCCATGGGTCCTTTATACATGTTCCTTGATGGCCCTTCCTCTCATTCCCCCCATTATACCTTTTCCCCCTCTCCTTTCCCCTCACCTCTGGTTAATGTCAGTTTGTTCTTTATTTCAATATCTCTGGTTAATTTTGCTTGCTTGTTTGTTTTGTTGATTAGGTTCCACTTATAGATGAGATCATATGGTATTTGTCTTTCACTGCCTGGGTTATTTCACTTAGCATAATGCTCTCCAATTCCATCCATACTGTTGCAAAGGGTAGGAGCTCCTTCTTTCTTTCTGCTGCGTAGTATTCCATTGTATAAATGCACCATAGTTTTTTAATCCACTCATTTACTGATGGGCACTTAGGATGCTTCCAGCACTTGATTATTATAAATTGTGTTGCCATAGGGGTGCATAGGTTCTTTTGAATTGGTGTTTCTGGATTCTTAGGGTATAATTCCAGCAGTGGGATTGCTGGATTGAAAATTCCATTTTTAGTTTTCTGAGGAATTTCCAAACTGTTTTCCACAGTGGCTGCACCAGTCTGCATTCCCACCAACAGTGTACTATGGTTCCCTTTTCTTCACAACGTAACTGGCACTTATTGTGTGTGATTTGTTTATGATGGCCATTCTGACCAGTGTGAACTGGTATCTCATTGTGCTTTTAATTTGCATCTCTCTGATGGCTAGTGATGCTGAGTATGCTTTCATATGTCTTTTGGCCCTCTGTATGTACCCCTTAGAGAAGTGTCTGTTCAGGTCCTTTGCTCCCCCCTTTTTTTGATTGTGTTTACTTATTTTTAGAGAAGGGAAGGGAGGGAAAAAGAGAGGGAAAGAAACATCAAGGTGTGGTTGCCTCTTGCACGCCCCTTACTTGGGACCTGCCCTGCAACCCAGGATTATGCCCTGACTGGGAATTGAACCAGTGACCTTTTGTTTCACAGGCTGGCACTCAATCCACTGAACCACAACACCCATGGCCTCTGCCCCCACTTTTAAATTGGGTTGTTTGTCTTCCTGGAGTGGAGTCGTGTGAGTTCTTTATGTATTTTGGAGATCAAGCCCTTGTCCAAGGTATCACTGGCAAGTATATTTTCCCATATGATTGGTTCCTTTTTCATTTCGTTGATGTTTTCTTTAGTCATGCAGAAGCTTTTTATTTTTATATAGTCCCATTTGTTTATTCTTTCCTTTATGTCCCTTGCTGTAGGGGACATATTGGTGAAAATATTGCTGCGTAGAATATCTGAGATATTCCTGCCTATGTTCTACTCTAGGAATTTATGATGTCGCGACTTATATTTACATCTTTTACCCATTTTGAGTGTATTTTTGTGTATGGTGTAAGTTGGTAGTCAAGTTTCACTTTTTTTTTCATGTATTTGTCCAGATCTCCCAACACTGTTAGTTGAAGAGGTTATTTTTACTCCATTTTATACTTCTGACCTCTTGGTCTAATATTAATTGGCCATAGAAACATGGGTTTATTACTGGGCTCTCTATTCTGTTCCATTGATCTATGTATCTGTTCTTGTGCCAGGACCAGACTGTTTTGATTTCAGTGGCCTTGTAATATATTTTTATATCAGGTATTGAGATATCTCCTACTTTGTGTTCTTTCTCAAAATTGCTGAGGGTATTCAGGGTCATTTATGGTTTCATATGAATTTTTGAAATGTTTGTTCTACATCTGTGAATATGTCATTGGTATTTTAATAAGGATTGCATTGAATCCATAAATTGCTTT